CTAATCTACTCTTGCTAAATTTGAGGAAGCTCAAGACATTAAAAAAAATTCTTATGACACCTTTGGTAAGAAGGATTAAACTCTATTGAACAGGACTCATGCGAAAAAGAAGCTGACAGCACAGAATTTGTTTAAAAAAGAACAAAAATGCCTGACTAAAAATTCGTGAAATTTAAATTACCTTTTAATCAAGAAAATCCTTCGGTTTTCATTTTTCGTTCTATGTTTCATTCATACCTCCAAAGAAATAGGAAAATGCAAATTTCAAGTTTTTCAGAGCAAATAATGCCGTACGGGATGCAACGCGAACGATATTTTACCTTGTTCCATGCTAGGTGTTTATTGAAGAATACTAATTAACTGCGAGGCTGTCCAAAAGGACAAATCATTTAAAATGTATTTATTCTGAGATAAACATCCAGCATTCTTCTAAATTCTCCTCTACATGAGGCCCTTTCATTCAAGTCCAGCATGAGCTATGTCATTCTCCCATAATTCTAATCATAGGACCAAAGATGTTGCTCATCTGAGGTGGAGTAAAGGCCACCGATATGGGGCCTAGATGTCGAAGAGTTTCCAGCTGGGTCTCCCATCCGTTCCTTTCTGCAAGCCAGAAATACAAGAAACTAAGGATAACTTGGTATTGAAAATAGTAATCAACAAACAACCGAAGGTAAAAGGAGCAGAGATGAATATAATCATAAGAGAATGCAAGACGAAGGAAACCCCCGTCACCAGTGGGAAGGACCGGAAAGCAGCAACTTAAAAAAAGTTGAAACACACAAAAATTAGTAATTTCTGCGTTTCAAAGCAAATGTCATCTTTTCCACTTTGGGGTATCTTTCAAAATGAATGACCATCCTCTCAAAATAAAAATAAATAAGTTAGCACACCTTTCTTACCCAGAACACACCTTCGTACCATGCACTAGAACTAGGTCTCTTAGTCATACTCATTTCCCCCCTCAGTGGCTTTTCATCTCTGTTGAAGCCCCAGCAGCAAACCCAACAATAGTAACAAGCAGAACTCGTTACAATTCGTCTATCAATTATGTTTCTTTCTTTTATTTATTTTTTCTATTGTGTTGCTTTATCTTATATGTGATTACTTATACTCATTATTCCGTAACTCGTACAGAAATGGCCAAGTTCTAATAGACATTAATTTTTATATTACTTGTCAAGGAAGTTTGCAAGTAATTTGTGAAATTTCTCCCAACCATACTAGGAAAAAGGTGAACAATACAAGACATGCATAAAAATACCTAGATGTTAGACCCTAGAAAAATAAACAAAAACATAAACAGACTACGGACTGGCAACAGATTAATTTTTTTCAAGGACCCACGTGTGATGTAATAAATAAATAAGCCAAATTCCAAGACTGCATTTGAGAGAGACAGAGAGGAACAAGAGCCTAAGGTTCTAAAATGGCATTTGTCTACAAGGTAAGAGCAAATGAGAGCGAACGTGAGAAGATAAGGTATCGGCAAACTTCTACGTCTCCATGCACCAGGTGGCGGCTGTCATCAATTCTTAATTTTACGCTACATAAGAAAAACTTCCACAATTCCCAAATATCAAATGACAATGAAGAAGACTAAGGTTGATGCAGAAAGGGGAAAAATTTGGTGACCTAGGGGTACTCATCTAGGCATTTCCATAGTTTTTGGAAAGTAAACAAGCATTTGATGCTCAGCTATTATGCAAAAAATGCTTGTCAAACATTTGCAAGAATGGTATTGAGATGTTTTAAGCTGTGTCAATTCGACGAAAACAGCAGCAGTTACTATGACAAATTTAATGTCGCAAGGGGCAATTTCATAGTTCTTGGAATACTAAATGCCATTTGATGCCCAGTTATTATGTCAATGATAATTGTCAAACACTAGTTGTTGTGTCTCAAATTTGAGGAAAATAGAAGCTCAACTCATTATTGTAGAGAAAAAAACACGAGAGAACAAGCCATTCATTTAATCCTTGTTTCTAATCCATCTTGCACAGAACTAGTGACCAACTTTAGTGGATCACGACAGAACAAGCCATTCATTTAATCCTTGTTTCTAATCCATCTTGCACAAAACTAGTGACCAACTTTAGTGGATCATGACAGAACAAGCCATTCATTTAATCCTTGTTTCTCTTTCATCTTGCAAAGAATGTGTGACATACTTTTGTGAATGACATGCAGTTCAAAAATTTCAGAAGAGAAAGTAAAAAAAAAGTAACCCCTTTTCCTATTCCTGTCCATATGTCTTCGTACAATAAGGTCATATTTATGCAGATTAAAAAATAAAAAAAAGGAAGAGAGAGAAAAAAAAAATTCTTTTAAAAAGGCAATATTCATATTTGTGCTGGTCAATCGTCATTTATTTTTACATACAACCACCTATAAGTGGGAGGTTTCGTTGGACCTCTACTTGTTAATTAAAAGAAACAGGACACAGAGGTTCAAGGTTATGCATGCAATTTTATTCAATATGTAAAAGGAGTTAAAGTAGAACTTGACAAAACACAGATATGATAAAAAGTTGTTATGCCAACCTCAAGGAAGACTATATATTACGACTTCTAATTATTAGCATAGACAGCCCTTTAAAGCATACTATCAGATATCTAAACCAACAAGAAACAGGCAATCAGGCAACCATTACAAACACAAATCAAAAAGTTTGTGCAAGAAACAACAGATTATATGCTTTGATTATGAATGTTTCGACAAAAACTATGCGTAGGTAAAGGTATCCTGCTTTGCCCAAAAACAAAAGCAAAGAAAAAGTAGTTCTAAATACAAGAGATTTTAAAGGCTGAAGGGCTTACTTTTCCCAGGAATTAGCTCCAGATAAGTCAAATTGTTGTTTAGCAGTATAATCACTGGAACTCCCATAAATTATACCATTATGACCAGATTTCTCCCTAGGATTCAACAAAATTTGGTTCTCGCCACCTGATGTTGGGCCATATAAAGTTTGTGGCAACCATGGACCATCAAAATTGCTAGGCACAGAACCATCGTATGTCCCAGAATTCTGAAAATTGCCAAGAATATTATTTTGAGAAGAATGGGTGCCAGCATGAATTTGCTCATCATGCTTAAACAGCGAGGCCATTGTTTTCTGAGGTACTGAATGCATAATATCTTCCTTTGGCCTGCTCAGTTCTGGAGGCAACAGCCAGCTGACAGGTCCACCTACCAAATCTTTACCAGCCTGACCTAGAGGAGAACTATTCCACATCTGCCATGTTCCATTGTCATTTGCATTGTTGGAATTATCCTGAGCTTTAGGGGCACTAGGGGCAAAAGAGGAACTACCAATCCTTTCCTCTGAAAGTCGTGATCGCGACAATGGGGACTGAATTGGAGATGGCTTGGTGACTTCGGATGATGCAAGTGTAGTCTTCACAGCACACGGTTCTTCCAATACTGTATCTGTTACAAAGCCAAGGTCCAAATCAAAGTTATCAAGTGATTCAGAAACTGGCCCAAGCAAGGATACAGGGTCTGGAATATAACAAGGGTCTTCAAAAATCTCTGACTCCTCTGGTAATAGTTGATCTGGCGCTTTTCCAATTCTAGGAAATATAGCTTCAGAAAACGATGGATGACATCTACTGTTGTTTATTGATCCAAAAGGACGAGAGGGTAAAGTAGATGGTGGCAGCTGTCCAAAGTTAACTGGTCCATCAAATAGTTGTGGTGGGCTCCAAACTTCTGTTTGGGACTTCACGTTTGGCCTACTAATGACATTCGGATTAGAGGGTGCAGAAACAGCAGATGAACGAGTGAATAATTGTTGCCATGATTTTTTGGGGGCCGGACATGGTAGAGGTGCAGTAACCACCTGCAGGAAAAACAAATAAACCATGACAAAGGCCATGTGACTAAAAATTACACGACAATAAATTGCTCACAGATCTAGAGATGAGAATAGAAGTTAAGAACACAGAGTTGACTCATTCAAAACTTTATGTTGGGCAAAATAAGATTGAAACACATGCCAAGAAATCAATCAACTGAAAGGACATCTCACTGACCACAACTAGAAAATGTAAACATTAGGGGCATTACCAACATCAGGTCACAATGATCATAATGGCCAAGCACAGAAAACTGACTTTCTCCTATCAACAGTTAACTGATAAACACAATTAACAGCCAACTCAATCCATAATAACGATATGCAAATGAAGATCAATTAAAGACAATAGATAACTTACGAGCGGATAGACATTCTTATCATTTCCATTTACATTTGATCTCCCTGATACCCATTCTGGCTGCAATACATCTTTCCTATATGCAGAACCTTGAACATGATCTATTGACGCATTAGGTCTATGTTCACTTGAAACAGTAGATTTGTTAGCACTTTTTCCCAAAAAACCACCTCCAGTAAGTGCTCTAGAAGATGATAAAAAGGTGCCCTTCATACGATCGAGGTATCTTGTTCCAGCAGTTCCTCGATTATGACTATTCATGGTAGCACCCTTGAATCCATGACCCACATCTACACTATGAGATTTTACATTTTCAGATACAGTTCTGTGTTCTTCACAACTGTCACCATCAATTTTCTTGTTTCTCGTGCTTTCCTTGCTAACTTTCTTTTCTGATTCCTCCACATCAGAGTTGCTTTTGCTTGATCCCCTATCTCTTTCTTTCTTTCTTTCCTGATGCTTCTTTTCAGCTTCTTTTTTCCTATTTCTATCCTTCTCAGAAGCAGGCTCTTTTCCACATTCGTTTTTATCCAACTTCTCATCCCGCAATCTCCTACGTTCTTCGACCATCCTCGCAACTTCTTCTCTCTGCTTTCTTTCCTCCTCCTCCAGTAACTCCTTCTCTAATCTAGCCTGCCTCTTCTCCTCAGCTTTTCTTCGGGCTTTCTCTCCTCTACTCTCATGAAAATTCCCTCCATTCTCACCTTGCTTATCCAATAGCCGTATGAGCTCTGCATCCGTTGATGTATCATCTCTGGACGAACTTACTCTAAATATCTTCCTCCAAAGCCACACGATACTCAAAAGGAAAGCTGTAAGTACCTTGCAGGTAAAAATAACTATGTGGGAATAAGAATTCTCTGTCAAACAATGGTTTTCCCCACCAACATACTCACCTCCATTCTTCTTCCAGTAACTTGACTTCCCATCAAAAGGTCCCCCGACCCAATTCCCATTCTCCGACCAAACATTTCCATTGAACACTGTTCCACCTTTCCCCACTAAATACTTCAAGATTCCTGAACTCCCCAAATCCAGAGACTCCGGCAAGTCAAGAACAGGCCTCTTTGAAATATGCCCGCAATATAAGCACGTAAACTTGCCCCCACCTGGATTCTGATCTCGATATGGAGTCAAACAATTCCTACACCTCCGGGTAGCAGTCTTCCTCAACTTTTGAATTTCAATAGCCTCAATCCTCTTCCTCTCCCTAAGCCTAGCATTCCTCCTGACCCGCCAGGCAGACAACTTAGGCATCAAAATCTCATACCAAAAAAGGGTTACTAACAGCACGAACACGCACGCCAGCCTTGGTGATGTGATTTCAAAGCGGAAAGCAGGGGGCAATAGCTGCGATAGAGCCCAAAGCCCAATGAGTGGAATCACTAACCATGGCAACATGGTAGCCACCCTCCTAGACCACTTCTGAATCTCACACAGTATACACATTATCCTCCTTACGGCGCACCTCTCTAACCGTCTTGAATGGAATAAAAACTTTATCAATTTAACCCCCAGAAAAAAAAAATAATCGAAAGAACTTCTCGAATCCAACAAACGTATATGTGTAATTGCTCCTACAAAGGAGATTTCAAACAATCGTATCCTCCAATACGTCCCTTTTCTCGATTCTTCCAATGTAATACCAATTCTCGCGTTTCCTCCAAACCCTAGCGTAGCGATTCGTGAGAAATCACCTATTTAAAAAAAATAAATTATTAAATCGAAAATCATTTTCATATACCAAACATATCCGAACAGTGCTATTCAGAAGCTCCAAAACCTAAAGAGTTCCAAAGGAATAATATCAATCAAAGAAAACTAAAAACGTTAAACGAAAACATAAAATGAGCTACGTAGAATATTCCGGCAATCTAAAAAACATCGGCCATGTCGGCGGTTGTTAACTTCACCGGAGATGATTGAAATTTTTAATTAGAAAGAAAAATAATCAGACAACAAAATGGAGATAAGAGAGAGAATCAGAGAACCACCTAAGCAACGAACAAATACTTTGCTAATAGAGTTCCACATATATATGATCGGTCATGTCGGGCCGATCCAGTCCGGTCCGGTCCGGAAAGATTAGATTGGACCGGTTTGTCGGGTTAAGGGAATTTGGATTAATATTTAAACCCTATTTGAGCCGATTATCTAAAATCCATTTTTAATCACATTTTCCTAATAAAATATTTAGCATATAAATTTAAAAATTTTTAGCCACACATTTTTCTAAAACTCACTATTACAAAACTCATTTCCCACGAAATTTTTTTCAAGCATAGGCTTAACTCCTGTAACTCGTGGCGTAAAAATTAGGAATTTTGATAAGAGTAATGTTATTTGTGAGCAATGCGTTGTCCACCAAAAGTCTATATTGCAGTAACATAATTATCATATTTTTCTCTAAATTTTAAAATACATTTTTATATTTATTGAAAAATGTGACAGTAACTCGCCCCGTTTGGATCCCATTAAATTCTAGTTCATTTTTTTCTCTCATATTTTCGACCACACAATCTTCTATAAAATAATATTACGCATAAATCGAAAATTTGTCCTTCTTTTTCAACTACTCATTTTTACAAAAACACTATTCCACCCATTTACATTTCAAAAAATGGAGGCCAAACAGGGGCTTAGTGCCGTATGAATGATTAATAATAATTACTACTTACAAATAGCATTATATCTAATGTGTGTGAGTTTCTATTGTCAACAAATGTAACTAAGTCTTGCTAAGAATAGAACACAATGAGAACTAATTGATTTTGGTTTAGTACATCGAGATCATTTAAATTTTAATTAAAATTAAAGTTTTTAATTCAATGCCAATACTAAGTTCCTCATCTAAAGAGGATTACGGTTTAATCTTATGTGACTATTTTAGATCACAATAGCAAACTACTTCTCTCCGCCTTGCCCCGAATTTCTTAATTTTGCTCGAATCTTATTATTTTACGTTATTAAAATTAAATTATATTTTATAAATCAATAATTAATTAAATGGATAGTAAATTGGATAGTTTAATCCTATCTTGCTTTCGTCCCATCTCCGTTATGTCTTTCTAAAATATTGGACAAGGCACGGACGGAGGGCCCAACATCTCGTTGTCATCCTTAATAATAGCTTTTTTCTATCTAATTGAAATTAAATATTTTAATGCAAAAATCTATCATCATTAAATATAGATGGTCTAATTTCTTACAAGAAGATGTGGGATTAACTTGTGAACGCAAATGACACGACTCATTCTTCATGTCATCACATGGACAAGTTTCTAACCTTATTTGTTGTCATCATGTTTAGACTTGAAAGTTGTATGATAATTGTCAAGATTGATACTTCATTTGACTTTGACTCTAATTGTGTTTAAATTTCAAAGTCACTTCGAAGTGGAGTCTAAACCTAAATTGGAAGAAAATTTAAAAGATTACAACCCACTAGAAAAGGGCATCTATAGATAATTGTGTCAAATCAAATTTTCACAATAAAATATTTTGCATGTAAACCAAAGTCTTTTTCTTACTTTTTAATCACACATTCTTCAAAAAATCATTATTCGAAAACTCATTTTTCCTAAAAAAATTCTTTTTAATGTTTGTTAAACATGGGCTTAATAATTTTACTTATGGATAATAAGTAAAAAAAATTTGTAATAAAGTAAGTAAAATAAAACATCAAATCTAGCTAATGGAATTATGTGTGAAATTACCATCATAATTTCCACTAGCACTGGGCAACTCAAGCAGTTTCCTTAGGGATGGATATTTTAATTGAAATCAAACCTTTTGAATTGGAATAGAAGGTTTCAATCCGATTCCAAAGAACAATGGGAATCGAAATTGAGAATCGAACAAGTTCTGGATGGTTCTTGACTCTTGAACCGAAATCGTGGATACTCGGCCAAATTTTTATGAATTTTGTATTTTATACAATTTATTCACCCTAGTCCAATAACTTGATGGGATGCAAAGGAAAAGATGGAAGAGTTATGCTACATAAATAGGGTTGGTGACATGTGTCGGTCATTAATTGGACAATTTGAAAAATATATATATAAGTATAAAAACCAAACAGATGCTAACAAATAGGCGTCTTTCACCTAACTCCTATCACCAACCCTGATCAAGTATCTTTACTCAAGATGGAATCAAAAGAACGGTCGACAAAGTTGATTGTTATTACGTTTTAGATATATGAATTTATGTTATTGTCCTTATTATTGTTGGTTTTCTAGTTTTTGGTCTGTTCTTCGAATATGTAATTTGGTTTTTATGCTTTGCTAGAAATTTGATGGTATAAGATGACACATTTATTAGGGGCTTGTTTGAGTCACATTATTTTCAAAAAAAATACATTTTTCAACAGTAATTTGACATCATTTTAACCACACATTTTTCAATAAAATAATATTACACGCAAATTTAAAAATTTTCCTTATGTTTTAATCACACATTTCAAACCCATGTTTGAGCCACATTATATGGAAAAAAATTTAATTTTAATTTTTAAATTTTTGAATTTATTTTCTTGATTTTTATTTTTATTTTATTTATTAGAATTTTTTTATATTTTTATTTTTAAAATTTTATCAAATGTTATTTTCCATATTTTGAGGTTTTTCTTAATTTTCACTGAAAAGACTTAGAACGTAAAAAATGCGTTTTGAGTTTCATATTATAAGTTTATTCTTATTTTCGAAATTGCATTTATAGAAATGTCAAATCGAACATGTTTTTAGCGTTTTGCAAAACTAAAAATTGAAAACAGCAAACTAAACACGTCCTAAATTTTTTGACTTCTTCATTTTTTTTTTCATAATCTTGAAAATCTGAAAAGACCATTTATTCTTACAATTTACCATCAACGATTCAACTACACTTTATTTGTATTGGTGCGTTGCACGTGATCTTGGAACACTATTGTTAGATCTTCGTCCATACATCTTCAATGCGATTCTTCCTATAAAAATGTAATTTACCAAATGAAAATAATAATTAAACAACAATAACCAAATCATCACTCTTACAAATCAAAACATTCACTATTCATAAACCACATTGTACTTGAAGATTCGAACTTCATAATCGAGAAGGCCTCCAAAACTTGAAGTTGCCATCTTCAATCAATTCACAGTTTATGTATTCTTGTTTCTTGAATGAAAGAATTTATAAATGTGCATCACAAATATACATGGTTTTGTGGAAGCAGGGGTGACAAAAAAAAAAAAAAAATCATCAAATCCAATACTCAAGTGCCCCGTCCCAAATGGGATGGAAATTACCCGCTTAATTGGGTATTAGGGTCGGGTTCGGGCATCATTTAATTTTTTTTATTTTTTTTTATGAATTCAATAGTTTAAATGAAAAACTCTACGAAATTTTATTAATTTTAGTAGAAGATGACAACTAAGATTATCTAAAAACTATGATAAATAGTAAAAACTTTAGTTTACCAAATATATTTGAATAATTTAACTTTTAAAAATAAATAAATTAATTAAAAGATTTAGTAACTATATTACTGTCCCACTTTATTGAATGTGGATAATAAAATGAATTTAGAAAAAAAAAATAAACTAAACAAGTATGTAAACGGGGCAAACAGGTAACGAGCTAGAAAATTGCCCGATGGGATGGGCGGAGGGGAAACCCACCCCACTGCCATCCGTAAGTGGAAGCTAAATGACTCTTTATCTTGTAACCAACGAAAAAACAAAAGCATTCAGCTTTCATTCAAGGGAGAAGGGTTAGAGATACAAAATCACATACTTTCACATAAATTACATACAATTACTTGGGAGTTTGAAAAAGAAGAAGGAGACTCAAGAAGATTGATCAAGATTTGTTGAAGAGATTCAAAATTTCAAAATTATTTTTTTCATTTTCTTAATAAGTTTTAATTTTGGGTGATGTAATGTAAATCTAATTTGTGTTTTTATAATAACATGATGCTCGACTAGTTGTCTAGAGAATAGGATAATGATGTATCCTATGTTATGAAACATTTCTAGATTTTGACTTTAAATAATTGTTTGGTTTTGAATGATTTTTAGGATTTTATACCTTTTCAATTACAACTTGTCCAATACCAGGACTCTACTTATATTTCGCATAAGGCAAAGGTCATGGATTCAAATCCTAAGGATGTGATAGAAATTCGTGAACGATAAGATGGCGGATGCTTTCCTAAAGCGACCAGTATATATGATATGATGGCTTTGGCACGAGTGATAATGCACTTATCTGGATGATTAAATGAGATTTATTGTAATAAATTTTGATGTCTTATGACTTTATTAGATGTTAATTTTGTTTATTGGGTAAAACTCGAGGCAAATGGGTGGAATTGGAAGAAATGAATGAAAAGAGGGCAAAAAAAAAAATCTAAAGTCTGAGGACAAAAGTGTAATCATCTAATAGTTAATTCAAAATAGAATATGATCATTGAAGATAATCGTTAATTGGATGCAATTTGAAGTCAAAGAAGAGAACTATAGTTGAAGTATTATCACAAATCAATTTCTAGCTGAAAAGGTTATGCTCCAAATTTTTAGCATCAAATTGAGATCCATTTTTTGGATAGCAAATGTTCGAATTGGAGAAATCATATTCTTAAAAAAAATTGTAGCCCTTTGAGATATCTTTGTAACTCACTTTGAACGTTTTAATTGGATATCGAAAAAGAAAGTTATGACCAAAATATTGAAAGTCATATAGGAATATTGCGATTAAAATCGGCAAGCGGTACATTGTTTTCACTAATCCAAGAGCCATTTGGCTCAATGGTACATGTGCGGGAGTTATGCTCTATTTTCATAGATGAATCATCAGTTTCCTTTCGCGCCTTAAACTCTTTTCGAACCTAAATTGGACACGATTTTGACCTATTTTCTGGCTCTTATAAATACAAAACAAGTGCTATATAGGGGAAAAACCCTCTATTGTAGTATCATCAAATTCATAAAAAAGAAGGGGTCAATTACTATATTTTGAGA